CACACACACACACACACACACACACACACACACACACACACACACACACACAAAACACAATCAAAGCAGCACTCAGAAGGTTGGTCACCGAGGGTTGGTGCTGACGTCACAGTGCATGGTATTTGATGTCGCACTGATTCTTCCTCCAGGCTATGCAAGTGCAGATAACCCCTCCACTTTTACCTGGGGTTTAATCTCTTTTTAAAGCTTAATCCAGTCTATAAAGAAACAATACAGAATGCAGTTTTACTCTAAGGGAGGGTTTTAAATTTTGAGACTCCTGGGAAAAACACTGAAGATGATTAAAAAACAAACAAACCCAAAACCCATTATGTAGTCAAATGCCAGCTCTCAATTTTTCTCAATTTTTTGTGCACTCATGCAAATACACACATTAATGGTGTTAGTCGAAGACTATTTGAATCACTGCACCAACCAGAAAACACACAGGTTGCAGCTTAACAAAGATTACAGTTCATCATCTGACCAAATGTGAAATATCATCAAAATCCTTACATTTTATTTATTGATGATTATAAAATAATTATGCACAAGATTCTGTCAAAGAACGTTAGACCTCTGACCTTTTGGGCATGGCATGAGTTTTACCTGATAGACTCCGTGTCATATTTGATCACAATTGGCATATAAATTCTTGAGTTGTGGTCCAAAACATTTTTTGCAAGGCCACAGTGGCCATCTTTTAATCCACTTGAATGTTTCTTCCAAATTTTAAAAATTTTATCCATGGCCTTCCCAATAAAGGGTGTGGATAAAATTAATGGAGCTAGAGAGCGATAGGGGCGAAAGAGAGGCACAACTTGAATCTGAAAACTCAGTGCCTGAAGCTACGGCTGTTGCTAGTGTAGAGGCATTAAAATTGATGCAAGTGACAAATTGAAATTAAAACTGCAAAGTAGAACAGTAATTAGAAGCCAGCAAGAAATTCCCTTTCGGCTAAAACTCTGGAAACATGTCATATGCTGTGCTCCTCAGTTGCTGGGAAGTGGTGAAGCGCCTCGGAGTTCTTTTTGCACTACTGTGTGAATGCACAATCAAAGCAGTAGACACTGCGGAATGGCTACTCAAAGAAGCATGACACTCAATATGTGTCATAAATTTTACAAAAAGTGTCTTTGTATTTGTTTTTAAAATAAAATACTTTCAATGTTTCATGATGATGGTGAAAGAGTGGCACACAGTGGAGCAGCCTGTTCATTGCTTACAATATAAAATTCATTATTGTCTTTTATCTTCTCAGTAAAAATGTGATCATAAAAAGACTGGCCTTATCAATCAGTCAGTCAATATTCCGACTCGTGGTCCACCAAAACAAAGCAAGTCATATAAAACATATCCTTGAGCTGTACTCGGATTCAGCAAAGCCAAGGTTAGTTACATCCAGGACAGCAGATAAACTTTTCAACTCTCATTGATTTCTCTGTTGTGGTGTGCAAATGAAGCTGTGTTGCTGTCACATGGTTCCCACAGTACTTTGATGGGGCTTCTGAAGTTGGGAATGTGTATTCATCATGGATGGTTTAAAAAGGGACATGCTTGATGATCTCCCTTGGTGTGTGGAGTTTTTCTCTGTAGCAGTCAGAGGTTTCTGTTTTCAAGCGCTCATGCATGACTGCCTACATCTGTTAAAGGACTTCATCTTCGTGATGCTTGTCTTTACACTGTCAGTATATTATCTTGTTTTTCAAGTTGCAATGTAGTATTTATTTCTCAGCTCTCAGTGGGGTGTACAACAAATAAGAATACACTTGTGTAATGTTACTGCAATTAACTTGCTGTTTGTAACCTGCCTTATCACAGCCCGCTAACCCCCCTCCCACACACATATGCACACGTTCCTGCCTAGTTGATCTAAAGCCACCTGATGTTAAAGCTGTATATTCAGAACACTTTATTATGACTGCAATCCAAACACTTTAAACTTTCAAATATGTGTGATCCGCAGGTTTTTTGATATACAGTGGATCTGAACTACTCATTTTATATAGTGTATCTATATATGCACTCCATGGCTATAAAGTTGAAAGTCGCTGTTCCATACAGTAAAGGCCCACATTTGAAAGAGTTGTCACCCTTGTGGCACTTACTGAACCACAGAGCCGTCGTGCTCTTGGTATCAAAGCTAACCAAGCAAACATTAGTGCTTTGCACAGCTCCCCAAGGTTTATAAGTGGAAGTTCTTTTTTTACTGATGCTGCTTTGAAGTTCACCCCAAAGGTGTGTAGGTGGATTTGATACTGCTGAATTGTGGGGTCCAGATCATGAAGTGTT